CATTTGTGCAACCAATCAGAGACTGGACCAAAGGGGAAAAATTTGCGGCGTTGACGGCCCCAGGGAGATGAGTAGTACCTGTTCGTCCCAGAAGACGTTGGGACCCCAGACGATGCCGAGGTTGACTGGACTCATCTTGTTGACTTCCGCCTGGAGCGTGATCTCGTGGAGGAAGTGCACCACTTCTCGCCACAGGTCAAGGTTGTGCGGCGGCAGCTGGTCCAACAACCGCCGCAGCTCTTCGGCCATCATGTTCTCGTCGTCCTTGAGACCCACTGCGCACCACCACAATAGTCACGTGAACATCAAACCAATGTGTGTAATTTATATATACACATAAGTATAACATTTAGAATGTGAGCGGAGAACGTACGGGTGGCGATCCACTGCATGGCAGGAACGGCGAAGAAGAGAGGCTGGGGCAGCTCGCGAATGAAAGCTTTCATGAGGGAGGCAACCTCGTCGCGTGAGAGCAGATTCACATCCAGCTCTTGTCCTTTTATGCCAAAAGAAGTGAAAGTGAGCACCGCTATGTGTTGAAAAGAACGAAGCGAACGGAAGAAGAGAACGAAGATAAGGAGAAAGGTGGTAGTACCATGATCAAGGAGAGCGCGGGCGCGGTTCACAAGTTCGGCGTTGCCGGAGAGACGGAAGAGGCCCTCCTTGTGCAGGTCCTTGTCCTCACGCAATCTCGCCAGAGCTGTGACGACGAAAACTGGGCGTTAGAACACGCACGCGCACAACACGCGCACAACACGCAACACGCAGAGACCTTGGTGAATGAAATGAGGAATCTTGAGCGCGGGGTGCTTGTCGGCCTGCGTCTGCATGATGTGGGGCAGAGGCAAGCCGAACATGGGCACGTAGGGCAGCGAGGGGCACATGTTGGGCAGCAGCGGGAACATCGTCGGCAAGTCCTCGAGCAGCGTCTGGCACAGAAGGCGCGCCATCTCCGGCGCAATTTCCTTCGTCGTGGCCGCCGTCACGATCGAATGCGATGCTGGCTGCTCGGCAGCGTCGACCTGTGCGGGCGCCGATGATGAAGACACCAGCGGCGAGGCAGGCAGCGGTGCCGATCGCGACAGCAGAGACGACGGGCCAGAACGCGGCGAAGGCACTTTCGGGGTCGCGGGGAGCTCGGCCGATCCCGACGAGCCGGGTGCAGGAGTCGTAGGCGCGACGAGCTCCGGCGACGCCACTGGATTTGTTGTCGACGACGATGACGTGACCGCGGTGGTGGCGTCGGGCGCGCGGAAGATGAGCGGCCCGAAGGTGTCGGCGACGGCGGTGATGTTGGCCTTGTTCTTGGTGGCGTGGGCCGGAACGAGGGTGTACAGATAGAGGAAGCTCAGCAGGTAGTGCAGTACCACCCGATTGGTCTCGGGCAGCTGCACGAACGCCACCCGCTTGAGCGCCCGCTTGCGCTCTTCGACGGTGGGCCGTTCGGCGGCGGCGATCCACTGGTCGATGAGCTCGGCCGTGCAGAGCGGGTCGGGCAGCTCCCGGAGGAACTGCTTGACCACCTCCGCCACCGCGTAGACCTCCTTCTCGGCTTCGTACGTGCTGCCGCCTTGCTCGAGCAACGCTCGCAGCTCCTTGACGTCGTCGTCCCTCACGCGAGCGGTGAACAGTCGCATATTATCCAACGCTCCTGCCCCACGTAAGCAATGCGTGTGTGTGCGTGTGCGCGTGTGCGCGTGCGTGTGCGTGTGTGCGGTGGTAAATACCTTTTTCCTCGACAAGATAGTTGAGGCAGTCGAAGAGGACGAAGGGGATGCCACGAACGGCGTTGTAGCGCGAGGTGGCGAGCTCCTTGAGGTCGACCCCGAATTCGGGGAGCAGGAACTTGGACTTGCCTCGCCTCACGACGGAGTTGGAACCCAACCCTGTACGGCGCGGCGTGACGGGTGACGTCACAGATTCCTTCGGTGGAAACACGCCACTGGTCGGGTTGAGCGCCGCCATCAACGGAATGCCAAGCTGCAGGCGGCCATCAGAGAAATGTCAGCAATGCCCTACAGCAAACGTGAGGACGCGTTTCAAATACCTTGGCCTTCTGCATTGGTGACAGAGGCTGACCGCTCGACGCACTGCGCGGGACCGCCACCGAACCTACAGGTGACGACGGACTCGAACTCGTCCCTGGTGCGATGAGCAAAACATACGACACGACACGACCAACGACACGACGCATGAGTGCTCAAGTTTCCTATGTGTCTTTTGGGCATACGGGCGTACCGGTCATGGCCGGGTCGAAGCTGGCGACGGGCGGCGCGGAGAAGGCGACGGTGGCCCGCCGGCCCGACGACGAAAAGACCGACGACGAGAGGTTGAGCGCCTCCGCCGTGCTGGTGCCCTCAGAGAACTGCGTCGACGCGGTCGTCGAGCTGATGACGTCGCCGCTCGCGTGCTGCGCATGAAGCGTCGATTTGAGGAATCGCACCACGCTGCCGCCCACGCCCGCTGCCGCATTCGTGTTCGCGTTGGCGTCATCGCCGCCCTTGCTCCCCGCCCGTACCCGCTTGCGGTCGTCGCGTCCGCCGCTGCCGCTGCGGCTGCGCGCGCGCGGCGAGCCGTCTTCGCTGCCCAGCTCCGACGACGAGACTGAGTCAATCGTCGACGAGGTCGGGCCGCCGCTCTTGCTTCGCGTTCGACGCAGGCGCGGCGACGAGGGCGACGCCGATGAAGATGTAGAAGAGGAAGATGAAGATGCCGAGGCGTTGGAGGCGGTCGAGGCGGCAGACGAGATCGAAGCGGCGTCGTTGGTAGATGAGGCCGAGCTCGTGGTCGAGGAAGATGAGCTGTTCGAGTCGAGCGAGGCCATCGAAACGCCGCCAAAGTTGGAGGCGCGTAGCGGCTTGGCCGAGGAGGCGGGCGGGGAGGGCGCCGTACGGCCACTCTCGAGGGTGGCGTCGCGAGGCGGGCGAGGGGGCGGGAGCTGGCTCGGCTTCGAGGTGGAGCTAGTGAGGCTATTCATGGTGGGGGGCGTGGAGGGGGAAGATGAAGGAGACGAGGCGTTATTTTCTTCGGGCAGGGGAGGCAGAATGCGCACCCCGCCGAAGAGAGGATTGGAGGTGGTAGATGATGTAGTTGAAGATGAAGATGAGGAGGAAGTAGTAGATGCAGAAGATATTTTGTTGTTTCGGGGCGAGCGAAGGATAAAGGACGTAGATTTGGACGAGGGGCTCAGTGGAGGGTCATCTTCAGGCATTGAGGTGCTTCGTTTCGTCTTCTCGCCAGGCGATGTTCTCAGCATGCGGATCGAACCCGCAAACTTTTTCATCTTCCGCAACTCGGCTCGGGCTCCTCTTCGTCGTCTTCGTTCTTTGTTTCGTTTTCGTTCTTTCGATTGATTATTGTGCAAGTTCGCAAGCCTCGAGGTGCTCGTACTATCGTCGCCAGCCGAACAAGTTTGTTGGCACCCCCCTCTTCGTCCTTGTTGCCGGAGAACTGCCCCAACACCCGAGCGACAGAGCGCCAAGAGCGCACGGTAAATCCAACCGCTTTAGAAACCAGGAAATTTCCCGCCACCGAATGAAGGCGGAGCACAGGTGCTGGTTGCAGAGTGACGACGTAGATCACGCAAGTGGAGCCAACTACACGTATTGGCAGTCCTTCATGTTCTGCATAAATGAGAACACTCGAGCGGTCGAGCGACAAGGATATAGCGGAAAGTGTACATCGGGCTAGCTTGTGGAGCATGTTTAGGGCCAAGCGAGAGCGAAGCAAGCAGCTTACATCCTCACGGTGCCGCCAGCCAGCTTCGTGTAGTGCATCTTGCAGTAGGGCTTGTCTGTTGCGCGTAGAAACGAGCGAGGGCGTGAGAACAGCTTCTTCACCCACAACAGTACTACAAATATCATATTGAGGGGAGGGTGCGTGTAGCGCTATCATACCATTGTGGGCGTAGCCCGTGTTGACGGTGAGGACAGAGTTGCACTCGGTGCACTTGTAGCACTGCTTGTGCCAGGCCTTGTTCTGGGCGGCGAGCTTCTCGTTGGGGTACACCCTCTTGCCGCAGCCCTCGCACTTCTCGCCACCGCCGCCGAAGGCCGGCTTGGCAGGGCTCGCCGCCGCGGGCTTGGCAGCAGCAGCCGCGGGAGCGGGCGTGGAAGCGGGCTTGGGCACGAACGAGGTGGTGGCCGCGGGCCTGAGCGCAGGGGCGGCCGGCGTGGAGGCGGTCGTGGTGGAGCTGGCGGCGGGCTTGGGCGCAGCGGCGGCAGCAGGAGCAGGCGTGGAGGCGGCAACGGTGGGCTTAGGCGCAGCTGCGGCGGGAGTGGCAGCGGCGGGCTTGGGCGCAGCAGCCTAGACAAGCAGTGCGCACCGATCATCAGCCCCTAACCTAAGTCGTGCACGCAGACGCAGCACACGCGTGGTGGTGTCATGGGCCAAGGGGGAGAAGGTACCACAGGGGTGGCGGCCGGCTTAGGGGCGGACTTGATGGCTTGGGCCTCCTTGCGGATGGCGGCCAGCTCGGCCTTGAGCGCTGCAATCTCTGCCTGAAGTGCCGCCTGCAGATGTGCCATCCTTCGATCAGAAACTTGTGAAGATAATACTAATAATGTGTAGAGTTATTAAAAGATGGTGTACATATATCAAAACCGTACTGTGTTGAGGACACCGCCTCGGTCAACGGTACCCTCTCCACCTCCGTCATCTTCTTTACTTCACTGGGGCTACTCTTCTTCCTCACATCTCTCACCCCCTCTACTCGGTTCAGGCCGGGAGTGCGTCTCATGTTGAGTAATTAAAATGGGGGAGAGAATGAGGATAAATGAGTAACCTGTCTAATGGACACGATCTCGGCGCGTATGGCGGCAACCTCTTGAACCAAATTCGCCTTTGGTTGGGTGATCCATCCAAAAATTGATTTGGGAGAAATCACCCAAGGCAATTAAAAAAAAAGAATAAATAAATAAATAAGCAGGGATTAGTCACAACCTCATTCATAAACAATGAGAAGAGCGAGCAAAGCGCCATGCAACCGGCCTCTGAGGCGTCGTGGTGCATCTCATTTGTTGTGCGTAGGGGCCATGAAATCTCCATCTTTGGAGCACTGGCCACTGATCTCAACAAAAAGGAGGG